ATATCGATGGAGAAAGGTTATTGAGGGTGTGGTTGCTATTCTGGACAATGGTCAGTCTAAAAGGAAACAGTCTAATATACAACATTGCAACTGCTCCTTAATTGTGTCAATTAATAACAACAATCAAATTTGATTGACATCAGTTAACATTGGAAACATATAATCATCAACGAGTAACAATAATTAACCTCATCATCAAGTTTTATTATTGTGATACAATTAAATACTAAATGATCAGTTAACTAGTTGACAATTAACTTGACATTAAATGAAATTGTCACAACCCTTTTTCAACACAATCAATAATTGTCATTTGCCCTTGAGCAATTTACTTAATGTTTGTTGAAAGTAATTCAGTTAATTGTTTCATCATTTTAATATTAAGAGTTTGTGATTTAATGAATTAATCAACTCAATTTAGATCTACAATTAAAAATTATAATAAAAATCCAATTACTAATTAGTGATTAGGTGTTTCAATTGATATTTTTGGGTGAGGTTTAATCGTCAGTCACAATTAAGATAACCATTAAATTGTCCCCAAATTATAATCACAATCAAAGAAACCAACAATTAGATATTATATTCATTTGAAAAGTTAACAAACCTCAACAATTAACTTGAATCCGAAGTAAATTAAAAAGGACTTTAAATCATTAATGATAATTTGCTAGTTAATCAATTACTGATTTAGTCAATTTAGATGGTCATAATTAATACATGAAGAAACATCCAAACAACAATTAATAATAAAATAGTAATAAATTGTATTTAAATATTACAACAATTTAAAGTTTGTTGATTGTTTTGTTTGGTTGGAAACATTGATGAGATTTGATTGTAATGATAAATTAGATATGAAATTAAATGTCAACTCAATTTAATTGTTGACTTGTAATTACGATGATTGTAAATGGAGCTGTTAATGACAGTGTTAATGTAGATTGATATAAATATAATTTAGTTAAATTGCTTTGTAATTAGTTGAAAATTAACAATTAGTTTGAATGTTTTACCTGCAACGAAAAGTAAAATAATCCAATTCAATGTAAATATAAACGATGATGATGATAATGTTTATCTAAATGTTGATAGATAATTAATATAATCATCATCGCTCAATGAATATATTTGTAACTAAATTAAGTCTAAATAAATGTTGACAAAAGTGATAATTAAGATTCTAATTAAAATCAATTCTATTCAGTGATGAGGAAAATAAAGTAAATCATCATCATCATCATCTTTCCGCCTTCTTCCTCCTTCTAAACACAAACTCTTTAGGTATCAAGTGATGAATATCAATTAGACTAATTAATCTTAATCTTCAATCAGTATACAAGATTTGACATGAAACTTGTTTACCCTCAGTTGATATCGTAAAGTTTTCAACAGGTAGATAAAGTTAATCTACAGGTAATATCTTAATTTTGTCTACAAGTTAACTGATATTATCATCCAGTGGTGACGGTGGTTTTTTAAGGTGTCCTTAGAGGTGAAAAGAGGACAAACCTCATCATCTTGATCCTCCTTCAAGTGATCAGGATGAGAGAGGATCAGATAAGCTCAAAAATTAAAGCCCTACAGTTGATGATGATACAAACGTGAAATATTATGCAAATTACAATGTTACAGGTACAAATTTCCGCTTCCCAATTCAATCTTCCACCTTCAACCCATCATCATCTTCATCATCTTCATCATCTTATGAATAAAATTTCAATTCATTTTCTCTCATCTTTTCATTTTCCTTCTTCATGATCAATTGACATATTCTTTCATGTTAATTTCTCTCTCTCTCTCTCTGCTCTCTAATTGTCATTTGAAATGTAATCACTCATCTAATTGCTCTCAGCAAAATAAAATGAAAATGATTAGCATCCTCATCACTTGTACATGAAGAGAAGATGAAAATTCTTGAACCAATTGAAAATATTTCCTCTTATTAAACGTAAATAAATTGGTGGGATAAATTATCTTACCTGTTGATTATTTACCTTATCAAATATAATCAAAGGTGTACCCATGAGGCATCAATGTTGACCATATAATCAATGAGGCCCAAATTGATTTGTCCATTGATTGTAATAATAATCAACTGATTGTCATCAAGATGAACAACCAAAAAATCAAAGTGAACCTCATAAAATAGTTGATTGTCAATAATACTTTGTGATTGATTGTTCTGATTGTCAAATTGATGATGATTACATTTTACTTGTAATTTGCAATTCAATTGAATTAGATTGTAATTTGATAACTTGATTATTGATTTCAATTCATTGATAAAGCAATTAGATTAATTTTTTTTGCTTCATTCCTCTTCCTTCATCCAATTAAACTGAATTAAGATATTACTTTAATCTTGATTACAATCAAAAACCTTTGATGTAGATCGATTATCCTAATTAACATGATAATCTAATAGCTAATTGAATATTTTATTCATTGTTATCAGTCACAATTAAATGGTCAACAATTAACGCAAAAAAAAACTGTCATTTCGACTTCGTGATATCTACAAGCAAGGCCAGGCCATTTTCGCGTGTCCATCGGTACTAAATTATCCCTCAGGCTATAATCTTGACATCAATTGTTTCCAATTGTTTTCAGTTGATTTTTGAATATCAATTATCATCAAGTGAATGTAAATTATCATGATAATTAGATTATCAACTTAATCATAAATTAAGGTGTGATCCTGATATTAGTTAATTGATTTTCATCTTGATTAAGTTTATCTTTAATTACCTAATCTTAATAATCTTTACCTAAGAAAAATTAACATTTAAATGTTACATCGTTTTAATTTACAATTAAACTAATCAATTAACTAGAATGTTGAACATGTTGATTGAAACGAAATTAAAATTTTCATCTTATTGACCTTGATTTAAATTTCATCGGCATTGATGTTAATGGTTTTAAATGGTGATCGGCAACGGGTGAGAGGCCTTGACCCTAGTGACATGATGATATCGGTTGAAGACAAAAGGTAAATGGTTAATTAATTTAACAGAGAGAAAGTTAAAATTATCATTAGTTAAATTAGATTAACAATTATGTTTGAAAGTGAAAAACATTTCCAATTGATGATAATAATAAATTTCCAATGATTAGACCTGGAAAATATTTCGACACGAGGCTTATAAGATCACTTTAAGGTCGATTTTTTCAATTCCCTGTTAGGTAATCATCATCTTCATCATCACGACTCAATTCACGCCCAATGGTCAACCTGTCCATCGTTTCATGTTCATACCAAAGAGATGAACAAATCGCCCGAGGGCCTCAGTTGAATATACAAAACTTATCATTCCAAAGGTGACCTAATGCTTTAAATAGCTATTTAAATAGTCATTTACACAATTAAAAAGATGACAATTAATACATTTAACCAAATTCCAAACTTGTTATTAAATTGTTCATTTTTATCACCTAATAATCAAGTAATCTGTTAATTAACTACAATCAATATCTAAAGATAATCATCATTTTTTACCCTTGATTTTTATTATCATTATTATCTGATTGTTATCTTATATTTTCATCATTATCATCATGATAATTGAAATGAATTAACGAGCTGAGATATTAATTTTTGAGAATCTTGTTTTCTTTATGTGGCCAGTTAATTGTAATGCTGTAATTTAATTGCTTGACCCTGTAATTATCAAGGATTATAATCAACGATTAAACTTGAAAAGTAAAATAATTAAACATTACAACTTAGCCAATGGTCAGTTTGGTTGTGCAAGTCAGAAGGAGATGTTAACAATTTCACCTTTTTCCAAATGAGATTAGATCAGATTTGAGAAAACTATTATTATGATCTAACAATTAGTTAATCATTTGTTGTGTTTTAATCATCTAAATCCGAACCTTTGTAACAATTTAATGATTGTTTATCTAGTTGTGCAGCATTTGTGTCCACCCACATACTGTCAACATCCTCGTTCACTTCCTATGCTAATAATAATAATGTCGCATGTAAGATATTGGCACGCGATCGGTTGGACATGCGGACGTGCATCTAGAATATATTAACACGTTATCCAAGTGAAACGATACATCAAATTAATTCTGGGCGTTGGCTCATTAATATTATATAGATTTTCTTATTATTATCACAAAACAAGTAACTAATTAATTGTAAACGTTTACACAGAACAATTTACTTCCTTTACTGTTAAGATAATTACCGGAATTGATGTGATGACAATCAGTTAATCGTTTATTGAATAAATTAAGCACAATACAATTACCACAACAATTTAATACTCGACAAAATTGTTTTTTCTTATAATAGTTAGTAAACAATTGCAATTGTTGACAATTGAATATTTTTTTCTTTCTTTACATTTAATTGTTGAGCGAAAGTTTTAAGATTGTTGGTAAATTAATTTCCATAGACCAACAATCAGCTTCTAATATCGTAAAGGTGAATCAACAATAATCGACGAAGGAAAATTATTCAGGTTATTATTTTGTTTCGTTCCAATGGTGATAACTTATTATTATCCCGATTGGAATAACTACTTTTACTCCATAAGGATCATGGACAATTTATGATAACATTTAATTGTGAATATGATACATGTAAATGAGAAGAAGAGAAATTGAGAGAAAAGTTTTCTCTTTATTTCCATAAGAATTTTTTTTATTCTATTTCATGTTGTTTACCTTTGGTTTTCTTTTCAGAGGAGAAATGAATGAAAGAAACGATTGAATGGAAGGTGAGGGTGGTCAGTGGATGGAAAAGTTTCTTGTTTTTCTTTTCTCTTTTCGAATTTGAAATTGAGACATAGTCCATCTATTGTCCATTCAATGAATTTTCTTTGACAGAAAATAAAAGAAGAAGAAGAGATTTGATCTTGTTCTTCATTCTATTCCAACTCTTTCACTCCTCCTATTTATCCTTCATCATCTCCTCCTTTTCTTCATCTTCCTCCACCTTCTTCTTTCTTTCTTCTACCTTATCCTCTCTCTCTCTCTCTCATCTGATTCACGCCTTTCATGATAGTCTCAAGTCGCCATTTAACTGCCATTACATTTACTTGCCCCTTAGAATCACAAGCACCCACAAAGTCGCTTTCGTCTTTGACCTTTGACAAAAGGGATCTTATCGTTAAGAACATTGTAAGTCCGAACTTTTCTCTCTATCTCTCTCACCTTTTACCTTTGTAACCACACTTTTAATATTTACTTTTCTATTCCATTTTTTTGTTCTTCTCTTTTCTCTTTTCATATTTCCCCTTGACCGTTGGTCAAGAAATTCATGTTAAAACTATTAACATTTAAATCTTTTCCTCCAACACCTCAAATTCACATTAATACTCATATTTACTGTTTGTATTTAGACCATTGGTCAAGTCATTGGATCTCATTATTATCATTATTGGACATTAATTTACACAATTGACCAACTAATAACTACCTTCCATTGAACAATAAAGGTAATCATTATTTACATTGGAGTCTTATTATAAAGATACATTTTCTTATGGATTATTTTTCATTCAGATTTACCATTGAAATGAGACCAGGTAAACAATTACAATTCACCCAAAGGCATTTAAATAAAGACACAGATTATTTTCACAGGTAAATTACAATTCAATTTGTGTAAATCATCTTGTTAATTGTATTGGTAATTCATTTGAGTAGAAAAAATCTCAATATCAATTTGATGTTTATCGATTGTTAATAATTTGATTAAGTTTTGCTCATTTCAATATTTAGATAATCAAACAACAATTAATTATTTGGTTGAATTCGCGCCAATGAGATTAATCATCAAAGGTTTAATCATGTCAATCAGTTTTCGCTTGCATATTCATCGGATTTTCAGAAATTGAAGAGTAAAAATTGTCTTTTTAAATCAGAGACTTTGATCAAGCAAACTCAACAATCGAAGATCAAGTAACCTCAATAGTTTTCGAATTGAAACTTCATGATAGAGTTCAACTCAGCACTTACCTAGAAAAGAAAGCTTTGAGCTGTTGAACTTTAACCTCACTGAATCTCAATCGAATGTACATTGAACTAAAAATTCAACGAGAAAAACTGGTTTAGAACATTGATAATAGATGTCGATCTGTTCGCTTTTTAAGGTAGAAACTTTTCTTGCTTTGTTAGCTATTTTCCTCTCTATCACCATCCTCATCATCTTTATCCTTATTCTCATCTCCCTCTCTCTCTCTCTCTTTCTTTTCATCTTCTCTTCTTCATCCTCACCTTCTTTCTTGTTTACCTCCCATTTTTCTTCAAAATCTCCGCCTTCGAATCTTTCTCTTCTTTCTCAAGGAGTTACCTCTCATTTCGATATAACAGCAAAAAATAGTGAGCTTAATATCGTCATAACATATTAGAGCGTCGACTTAACTTTCCACTGGCATTTTACCTTTACCTTTGGATAGAATAACATTCAATCTTGTTTATTCTCACTATTTCTCCACTGTGCCTCTTTCTCCATGTTATTATTACCATAGATGAACATAGAACATTATAAATTGTAATAACTTTTTTTCCTCGAAAAGTTTTTTCCCTTAAGTTTTGAAAATTGTTTTCACCTTCGACTTTACCTGCAATCGTTTCTCATCTGTAAACTAAAATGGCCACAACAGCAATCGGATATCAAACATCAATGATAACTGTTATTGTGACAGAAGATAAAAAACCATCAACAATTTCGGGAGTTAAACGCAAGCGAATCGGAAGCTCAATTAAATCTTCATCAACTCCACCCAAATCTCGATCACTTGTTTCATCTTATTCATGTTCATCATCGTCAACATCATCTGCAAGCTCGATAGCATCTTCGTCTTCCTCGTCCTCATCTTCATCTTCGTCGTCGACATCATCGACCATCGCTCCATTTGCTGTCGCTCGTCGTAATGAACGTGAACGTAATCGAGTTAAAATGGTAAACCTTGGATTCAATACTCTTCGTGATCATATTCCTAAAGAGAAACAAAATAAGAACAAGAAAATGTCCAAAGTGGAAACACTTCGAGAAGCAGCTAATTACATTCGTCGACTTCAGTTACTCTTGAAAGGAGACACAAGTTCATTGGAAGCATTTAGTTCAGTACTTTCATCGATATCACCACTTTCGATTCAATCCAATTCATCGATCTCTTCAAGGTAAGAATTAACTTTCTCTCTCTTTCTCTTTGCATCTCAATTGATTTTCTTTCATTGATTAGTTTGCATAAATTTATCCTTTTTGTGTTTATTATTTGGAAACTCACCTTTGCTTGTTTTTTTTCTTTTTTTCTTTTTTTCGAATTTTTTTGTTTTCTCTCCTGTTATTTTCCCGCATCTTCAATTTGATCTTTAGTGATGTTGTCATGAAAAAAGAGCCTGATGAAAATATGAATCCAATCAGCACGTTATTATGTTCACCCAATAGTAATTCATCATTATCATCTTCCTCTTCCTCTTCATCATCTTCTTCTCCCCCTGATCAATCATTATCACCTCATTATCCTGTTGATTCGTCACCTTTACGCCATTCTCATCATCATTCGCATCATCAAGATTCTCAGCATCAGAATCGTCAACAGCAACAAAATCATCACCAACAGAATCAGAATTATCAAAATTATATCGGATCAATTTCAACTTCTTCTCCTCCTTCATCTTCATCACCATCTCTCACTTTAGCATCTTCACCAATAGTTCAAACATCAATCGCATCCTCATCATCATCATCATCTTGTAAAACAACAACAACAATTTCAGTAACACCAGTTAACAGTAATTATCACCAAAACCAACACCAACATCAACTGCATCAGAATCATCAGAACCATCACAATCACCAACAGCAACATCTTCATCACCAACAACAAGAACTGAATCATAATCAATCACAACCTTTGCTCCAAATCTCAACACAATCTCAATTACCTGATCATCAACACCATCAACATCAACATCAACATCAACATCAACATCAACATCAACATCAACATCAACATCAACATCAACATCAACATCAACATCAACATCAACATCAACATCAACATCAACATCAACATCAACATCAACATCAACATCAACATCAACATCAACATCAACATCAACATCAACATCAACATCAACATCAACATCAACATCAACATCAACATCAACATCAACATCAACATCAACATCAACATCAACATCAATCCTCTCATCCAATTCAATACCATCAACAACAATTAAATCAACTACCTCAAATCAATCATTAGAAATGATTAAATGTTCACCAACGACAATTCAACATCACCATCAACACCAACCCAATAACTATCAAGACCAACTTAGTCCAATTAATGGTCAACATCATCTGATGAATTCAATTCATCAGTATCAGAATCAACAGCAACATTCAATCATAATCAACCAACAACAACACCAACACCATCAACAACAGTACCAACAGCATTCACCATGTTCAATGTTATCACCCAAATCGTTGGCACCTTCAGAAATGTCACCTTACTCCCTTCATGACACAACAATAGACACAATCAAATGTGATCCCGATGATATTTTTGACTTTGAAACTTTATTATCCTAATGTAAACATATTCATCCTCATCTCTCTCATCTTCAACATCCTCAATCAAATGAACAATATATTTTTTTGCCAAAACGTTGAAACGTTGACACAATTTTTTATTATCTTTAAAAATAAATATATAAATATTATTAAAATTAAAATAAAAGTACACATATTATATTATAAAGATAAATTTTTGTACGAATTTAAAATCAAGAAAAAAACAACAACAACATTGATTAAATAAAGTATTAAACTACCTGAGAATTGATTGTTTACTAATTGTTACTAAAATCGACAATTCAACCAATTAACTTGCGAATCAATCTTAATTTTGAATTAGCTTGAATATCGAGTTGATTTTAACTGCTTCTGATGCTCATCTTTGATTAACAGTCAATGGGCTCAGTACTTGGTGAGTTGAGGTCAGTTAGGCTTAGGGCTCATTGATGATGGTTCTTTGGGCTTGGTCATCATCTTGACCCGTGCCTATGTGCCGATGAGATAAAAACAATGATAAATTAAACATACCTTCAGTTTCTGACCTTCTGACCATCGGTCACTCTCCTTACACGGGCTTTAAAATGACCGAAAAGAGAAATAAACTAACTGATAATTCTAATAACAAATGACCTTATCCCCGATCGATAGGAAATTGAATTTAAATTTTACTTTATAATTGAAATAAATTAAGAATTGGATTGGATTATTATCAACAATCAGCCTTGTTATCGTTAAGTTTTGAGCGATTAATTCAATTTATAATTAATCAGAATTTTCTCCTATAACAGTTTTGATAAAGTTTCCAAACAATTTAAGAAGAAAACAAAAAACTTATCGTATTTACGTCTCTAAGGTATTCGTGATTAAGTAATGAATCAAACAACAACAATTAACTATGAAACAATCAGAAGAAGTAAAAAAGAAAATCAAAAATGAATCAACAATTAATAATTATTATAAATTGTTTGTTAATCGGTGAGAAAATTTCAGCTCGAAAATTAAGAAGAAAAAAAGTTCAGAAGGAAAAGAAATTTAAAATTTCGTTTTTATCATGATTCAAAGTGAATAATGAGTTTTTCCATGAAGGTGGGACTTGGAACTGAATTGAGGTGGTTACCTGAAGAGAGGGATGAACTTAACATGTTAACAAGTTACAAGAAAAGATTCAAATTGTGTTTACAATTAGGTGGAAACAATTAACTCAAATGAAACTTGAATAATAACAATTAACCCCCTTTCAAGGTAACAATTAAATCATATGATTTGTTTACGATTAAATGGTAATTGTGTTTAAAATTATCGAAACAATTAAGTTCTATATGAGATGATTTTTCCTCTCAAATCATATTGATTCTTGTTGATTCTAATTCATGATCGATTTTGCTGGTCAACTGATTGTGTTTATTTTTTTTTCTTTAATCAATTGAAATTATCAAATTCGGTTTTGAATTTGTTCACGAAAAGTTTAGAATACGATTTAACTTGTCAATTGAAAATCTCTTATTTGGTAGTAAATGTAATGAATGGAGAATCGTCAATGAGATGAATTTTGATTTCTTCGGATCTTGGATAACCTGTGCTTCGAATTTCTTTTCTTCGATTGAACCATCACTTAGAACCTCTTTTTTTCTATTCTTTTTCTTCCTCTTTCTTCTCTTCTTCTTCTTATAATCAAAGCAAGTAAAATGATAGAATAGAGAAAGAAATTACTTCCACCTTCTTCCTCTTCTTTACCATCTCAACATTTCCTTCTTTCAATTATCATCATCTTCTTCTCCCCTGATCAATCATTATCACCTCATTATCCTGTTGATTCGTCACCTTTACGCCATTCTCATCATCATTCGCATCATCAAGATTCTCAGCATCAGAATCGTCAACAGCAACAAAATCATCACCAACAGAATCAGAATTATCAAAATTATATCGGATCAATTTCAACTTCTTCCTCCTTCATCTTCATCACCATCTCTCACTTTAGCATCTTCACCAATAGTTCAAACATCAATCGCATCCTCATCATCATCATCTTGTAAAACAACAACAACATTGATTAAATAAAGTATTAAACTACCTGAGAATTGATTGTTTACTAATTGTTACTAAAATCGACAATTCAACCAATTAACTTGCGAATCAATCTTAATTTTGAATTAGCTTGAATATCGAGTTGATTTTAACTGCTTCTGATGCTCATCTTTGATTAACAGTCAATGGGCTCGGTACTTGGTGAGTTGAGGGTCAGTTAGGCTTAGGGCTCATTGATGATGGTTCTTTGGGCTTGGTCATCATCTTGACCCGTGCCTATGTGCCGATGAGATAAAAACAATGATAAATTAAACATACCTTCAGTTTCTGACCTTCTGACCATCGGTCACTCTCCTTACACGGGCTTTAAAATGACCGAAAAGAGAAATAAACTAACTGATAATTCTAATAACAAATGACCTTATCCCCGATCGATAGGAAATTGAATTTAAATTTTACTTTATAATTGAAATAAATTAAGAATTGGATTGGATTATTATCAACAATCAGCCTTGTTATCGTTAAGTTTTGAGCGATTAATTCAATTTATAATTAATCAGAATTTTCTCCTATAACAGTTTTGATAAAGTTTCCAAACAATTTAAGAAGAAAACAAAAACTTATCGTATTTACGTCTCTAAGGTATTCGTGATTAAGTAATGAATCAAACAACAATTAATTATTTGGTTGAATTCGCGCCAATGAGATTAATCATCAAAGGTTTAATCATGTCAATCAGTTTTCGCTTGCATATTCATCGGATTTTCAGAAATTGAAGAGTAAAAATTGTCTTTTTAAATCAGAGACTTTGATCAAGCAAACTCAACAATCGAAGATCAAGTAACCTCAATAGTTTTCAATTGAAACTTCATGATAGAGTTCAACTCAGCACTTACCTAGAAAAGCTTTGAGCTGTTGAACTTTAACCTCACTGAATCTCAATCGAATGTACATTGAACTAAAAATTCAACGAGAAAAACTGGTTTAGAACATTGATAATAGATGTCGATCTGTTCGCTTTTTAAGGTAGAAACTTTTCTTGCTTTGTTAGCTATTTTCTCTCTATCACCATCCTCATCATCTTTATCCTTATTCTCATCTCCTCTCTCTCTCTCTTTCTTTTCATCTTCTTCATCTTATATTTTCTTCCTCTTTTCATCTTCCTCTTTCTTCTCTCTTCTTCTTATAATCAAAGCGAAGTAAAATGATAGAATAGAGAAAGAAATTACTTCCACCTTCTTCCTCTTCTTTACCATCTCAACATTTCCTTCTTTCAATTATCATCATCTTCTTCCCCTGATCAATCATTATCACCTCATTATCCTGTTGATTCGTCACCTTTACGCCATTCTCATCATCATTCGCATCATCAAGATTCTCAGCATCAGAATCGTCAACAGCAACAAAATCATCACCAACAGAATCAGAATTATCAAAATTATATCGGATCAATTTCAACTTCTTCTCCTCCTTCATCTTCATCACCATCTCTCACTTTAGCATCTTCACCAATAGTTCAAACATCAATCGCATCCTCCTCATCATCATCATCTTGTAAAACAACAACAACAATTTCAGTAACACCAGTTAACAGTAATTATCACCAAAACCAACACCAACATCAACTGCATCAGAATCATCAGAACCATCACAATCACCAACAGCAACATCTTCATCACCAACAACAAGAACTGAATCATAATCAATCACAACCTTTGCTCCAAATCTCAACACAATCTCAATTACCTGATCATCAACACCATCAACATCAACATCAACATCAATCCTCTCATCCAATTCAATACCATCAACAACAACAATTAAATCAACTACCTCAAATCCAATCATTAGAAATGATTAAATGTTCACCAACGACAATTCAACATCACCATCAACACCAACCCAATAACTATCAAGACCAACTTAGTCCAATTAATGGTCAACATCATCTGATGAATTCAATTCATCAGTATCAGAATCAACAGCAACATTCAATCATAATCAACCAACAACAACACCAACACCATCAACAACAGTACCAACAGCATTCACCATGTTCAATGTTATCACCCAAATCGTTGGCACCTTCAGAAATGTCACCTTACTCCCTTCATGACACAACAATAGACACAATCAAATGTGATCCCGATGATATTTTTGACTTTGAAACTTTATTATCCTAATGTAAACATATTCATCCTCATCTCTCTCATCTTCAACATCCTCAATCAAATGAACAATATATTTTTTTGCCAAAACGTTGAAACGTTGACACAATTTTTTATTATCTTTAAAAATAAATATATAAATATTATTAAAATTAAAATAAAAGTACACATATTATATTATAAAGATAAATTTTTGTACGAA